AAGCTTTGAGGGGGAATTCGGTCAAGACGATGACGGTATGTGCATGGAAATAGTGCGCCAACTTTCTTGAAGCCATCATTAATGCCAAAACAAGCTTCTCCAACGGCAAGTATCTCGACTCTGCCGGTAGCAAAGTTTTGCTGACATAGAAGATGGGGAGGTGCTTGATTCCTTCAGCCCGGACAAGCACCACACTGACTGCATGCTGTGATACGACCAAATAAAGATAAAGCTCTTCTCCAGGCTCCGATGTGACCAACAGTGGCACTGAAGACAGATACTCCTTGAGCTCGGCCAAGGCTCGGTCACACTCCTCATCCCAGGAGAACTTAGATTTTAGGGACTGAAAGAAAGGGCGGCAGCCATCTGACGACCGGCTTATAAATCAATTAAGCGCGACGGCCATTCCGGCCAGATGCTGCACGTCTTTTGCCGAGCTAGGCTGTTTTAACTCTTGCACGGCTTGAATTTGTGTAGGGTCTGCTTCGCTACCTCGGTTCGTGACTAGGAATCCCAAAAATTTTCCGGATCCCACGCCGAAGACACACTTAGACGCATTCAGGCGTAGCTTGTGCTTTTTAAGAATGGCGAACATCTCGACCAAGTCGGACAAATGATCTGCCTGATGCCGGCTTTTAACCACCATATCATCAATGTAGGCTTCCATTGTCCGACCCAACAAAGGAGCAAACATCTTGGTCACCATCCTCTGAAAAGTCACCCCGGCGTTCTTCAAACCAAAAGGCATGACTCGGTAACAAAAGAGTCCCCTTGGTGTAGTAAAGGAGGTAATTTCTCGGTCGGGGCCATGCATGGCAATCTGATGATAGCCGCGGTAGGCATCCAAGAAACTTAGCCTGTTATGTCCAGCCGTCAAATCCACAAGCTGGTCAATTCTAGGCAAAGGAAAGCTATCTTTCGGACAAGTTCGGTTGACGGTCTTGTAATCAACGCAAACCCGCCACTTCCCATTCTTCTTCGGTACCACCACTGTATTTGAGATCCACCGAGGATAGTGTACTTCTTGAATTGCTCGTGCCTCTAGCAAATTCTTGACTTCTTCCGCAACTACCTCGGCGTGATGCAGCGCCGATCTCCTTGTTCGCTAAATGACTGGCTTGGCACACGAGGAAGACATTGAGATGATGGCAAATAAAACTAGGATCGAGGCCGGGCATGTCGTAAGGCGATCATGCAAAAACTTCGATGTTGGCCATCAAAAACTCAACCATCTCGGTCCGTTCTATGGCCGTAAGGCTTGAGCCGAGCAAGAAGAACTTGTCCGGCTGCTCTGTATCAATTCGCACCTCCACCAATTCCTCGACAGCTTTGTCTTCGGCCTTGGTGCCCACATCATCCAAGACACCCTGGTCCTCCGGTCCCTCAATCATTTGGACAAATCCTTTGGCTGCCCGGCTCCCGTTGACCGCTACGAAGCACTGCTTTGACATGACCTGATCGCCCCAAATCTCCTCGATTGCCCCCATAACCGAGGGAAATCTCATTACTTGGTGAAAAGTCGATGCCACGGCTTGCATAGCGTGAAGCCACCCCCTTCCAAAGATTAAATTGCAAGTAGATGGCACCTGTAATACCCAGAACTCCACCTGTTTGGCCACGGATCCCGCTTTGACCGGTAGGATAATCTTTCCCAAAGGCCACTCTGGTTGTGAGTTGAAACCAACCAACGGCGACGTCGCCGGGGCCAAATCCGTATCTCGGAGCTTGAGCTATTGGAAAGCGTGGTAGTACATGATCTCGACCGAGCTTCCCTGATCGATCAAGATCCGTTTCACTTCAAAGTCTTTGACGCGGAGTGTAACTACCAAGGTGTCATTGTGCGGTGTCTAAATGCACTCCAAGTCCCTTGAGGAGAAACTGATCACATCTTTCGTTTCCGTCTTCCCCCTCTTAAGCGCAGGCTAAACTGACAAAACTTCCCTCATGTGCTCTGCCTTCTTGATCATACCACGGAGCTCGCAAACACGCACCGGTTCCACGATGCCGTGGATGACATTCACAACCCCTTGAGGAGGCGCATCTCGGTCATCCGGTCCCCGCGGATCACCCGGAACTTGATTTGCCTTAACGCCCCCATTAATGTAAAGATCCAGGTGCCCGGCCGCAACTAGCTCTTCCAGATGTTGCCTTAATGGCAAACAATCCTCAGTCCGGTGGCCTCGCTCCCGATGAAACGTGCAACGATACCGAGGATTGTAGCCCTTTTGTCCATCGCCCAACTTAGCAGGAAACCGGACATACTCCTCGTCTCGGATTTCACTAAGTATGCGATAGATCGGAATCTTGAAGACCGTGGTTATGCCAGTCCTTGCCTTCAACCTTCTGTTTGCATCCGCTACGTCATCTCGGGGGTAGTCATCCCGGTCATTCCGACGTCCTCTACCCCGATTTTTGCAATTTGAGCCACGGTCCGATTCCTCTGCGCGGTCACTTGAGCGCCTGGACTCTTGCCCAACTGCGTGCACTTTGCCTGCTGTCTTCTTGTCTGTTGCTACCGGAGTTTGCCTTCACGGTAGATGCTGACGCGTCATCCTCGACTCAGATGTGCTCATTGATGCACTGCATGAGCTGGCCCATGGACGTCGGTTGGTGCATGGTAAGCGAGTCCCGCAGTCTGTATCCGACCGGGAGACCACGCTTGTATTGAGTGATTGCAAGGTTGACCGGGCAATCTATGATCTCGTTGAAGGTCTCCCAATACCTAGAGTTGTATGCCTTCAATGTGTCGCTCGGTTCCATCTTGACACTCAGTAAATGATCGACTTCCTTTGGTGTTTTTGTGTTGGTTTTGAAGCGCGTCACAAAGGCCTCGGCCAACTGATGCCACCGTTGTATGCTCCCTTCCGGCAACCTCTCGAACCACTTCAAGCCCAGCTCGCCTAAACTTGACGGGAAGATCAGGCACATAAGTCCGTCATTTCGCCTATGTCCGGCCATAACCTGTCGGAAGTGGCTCACATGCATGTAAGGATCGGTTTTCCCGTCGTAAAGCGTGAACTTTGGCTGGTGGAAGCCTGCCGGAAGCGGTGTAGTTTCTATTTCTAGGGAGAAAGGGGTGGCACTCAACCTGGCCAAATCTGAATCCACTAGGAGTGGCGCTGCTTGGCGGGACGGAGGCATTCCGACCTCCTCGCTGGCGTGAACCCCGTAGGATAGCCGCTGGAACGCCGGTATCCTCTGAGCCTCGCGCCGGCGAGCCCGCTCCTTTAAGACCGCCCGCAAATCCTCTGAATGAGCGGAGTAAGAGTACCTCGACGTCGTCACCGGACGTGAGGGCCGGTAGGTGCTGTCTTGCGCGCTAGACTTCTCTGCATGCACGTCGGAATCACCAACCTGGTAACTTCTGGTAATAGAAATTGATGGAGTGCGTCGCTAACTCTGACTGCCTGAACGGCGGGATGGGGTGCGCTCACTGTGGTCACCCACTCCAAATACACCTTTCCCTTTGACATGTCGCCTGAGCTCCTCCATCTCTGCCGCCATTCGCCAGATGACAGCGTCTTGGTCCCTCAACTTGTGTTCCAGACGTCGGGCATGTGATTCTCTCCACCGCCGATGACCGTCCGGACTTCGTGAATGACCATAACTTCTTCTGCGCTTATCCCGCGCGTCTCCTGACTGTACTCCGGTGGGTGTCTCCAAGTCCGCCATTGGATGGATGGCGGGAGGTCCTTCTCTCCTTCGGGTGAACTCCGGGGTGGCTCCGTCTATGGCAGACAACGGAAACTCATCGTTGTTCGCCATAGACGGCGATTAGACGAGCCTGGAAGACAAGGTTTTGTCTGTCAAGGTTCCCACAGACGGCGCCAATTGTACAGGGAGCAAATATTCCGGCAAGCCCGTACTCCTTTCTTCCGAGCTCCGTTACTGTCCGATCACCTGCGAGCAAATAACGATGAGCTACCCGGCGGTGTGTGGCCGGAAAACCCCTCCGACGATCAAGTTAGAACACACACACAGAGGAAAGATAGAGAGAAGGGAGAGTCTAGAATGTTTAGTGTATGTCTCACCAAATGTTCATCTCTCGCGCATGGGGGGCGCAAATTCGCTTATATACCTTCTGCGCCCCAAATCTACTCTCATTCGTCTCTCGACACGTGGCGCTGCTATCCCATCTGTCAGCACAAATCTTGCTGGGCACCACCTAACCCAACTGCCCTCCCATTCTCCTGGGAGCTCGGTAGCCGGTCAGTACCATCTCGGCCATCGTCTGCCATGCTGCGCTTCTTGCCCAAGTATTCCAACAGCTATGCTCAGTTGGGACCGGACTCGGCGGCATCTCAGCATAGCCGAGCTTGGAACAACTCACGCTTGTCCGCGGTCAACCAACCTGCCGAGCAAACAGGTACCCCGGCGTCATTACCACGGATCCTCGCAGCTTTGTTCAATCCACGCACTGCCTTAACCGAGCAGCTTTCTTCGCGGCCGGGCCATCCAGCTTGGCCCAAATCTGTCTGGCATAACTCTGTCCGGCCTAACTCTGTCCGGTCCAAATCTGTCCGGCTCAACTCTATATCATTAATCTCCCTCTCAGATAGTATTAAGAAAATATTATTTTAGAAATAATATATATTACTTATACATATTAATTAAAAAACACATCTATATAAAATAAAATAAAATAATTTATAAAAACACATTATTTAAAAAATATAATAAATAAGTAAAATAATTAACGTATATTAAAATAAAAATATTTATTAAAAAAAAATTGCCATGTCCCCTGCCGTGTTCGTGTCCCAATTTTTTGGAAATTGTCGTGTCTCGTGTCCGTGTCTGTATGCATGTCCGTGTCCGTGTCCGTGCTTCATAGAGGTGAATCTTTAGTAGGTTCTTAATTATTAAGAATTGGGACTATTTTTAAAAAATAGTACTTTTTCTCTTCATTTTTTTTTGGGTCCATGGTCCACCATTTCCTAAGCCAACAAAACAAAGCTAATAACTTTAATACAAATTTACACTTGAAAAAAAATGCATACCACTTTCACCCATGGTTACAAGGTTCCAATTGACAACCCTTGGCTCAACCGAACTGAGAAGTTCGAGGAAGAATAATCCACTTGAAAGGCTCTTATCCTGAATGACAGTCCCGCAATATCACCAGTCAGTCATAATTTATATATTAATAAAAACTAATAAAGAAATCAATGTAAAACTTACTAACCCTAAAACTCTCGATATGAGTAGTTCTGCCCTTGCTCTTCACTTTTTTGTTTGCCCAATTCAGGATATCGGCATCAGTAAACTCCTTCCCTTGAGAGCGGGACCTCAAGTTCTTCAGAAGTTGAAGCATATTGCACCGCATCAATTGCCACAGGAAAGCTGAAAAAAGTACCCAAAAAAAATTGAGCGTTTTGAACTTCAAGTGGGTACGGCACCAACATCAATGGTGGTGGAGGTGAAGGGATAATGGTTGTGATGATAGTGGAGGAAGGGTTGGTGTGGGGGAGGTGGAGGGTTGTGGCAATGGTAAGACGTGATAGTGATAGTGACGATGACAGTGGCAATGGTGGTGGCAGTGGTAGTAGGCGGTGGCCTTCAGAAGTTGAAGCATGTTGCACCGCATCAATTGCCACAGGAAAGCTGAAAAAAGTACCCAAAAAAAATTGAGCGTTTTGGACTTCAAGTGGGTACGGCACCAACATCAATGGTGGTGGAGGTGAAGGGATAATGGTTGTGATGATAGTGGAGGAAGGGTTGGTGTGGGGGAGGTGGAGGGTTGTGGCAATGGTAAGACGTGATAGTGATAGTGACGATGACAGTGGCAATGGTGGTGGCAGTGGTAGTAGGCGGTGGCCTGATGATGGTGGTAGCGGGGGTGGGGGTGTCGGAGTGGTGATGTGGCAGCAGTGGCAAGGTCATAACGGTGCACATCGATGCTTCTGTATAAGCAATTAAGAAATCAATCAACATTAAAAAATCTACTACTAAAAGTTTTCTTAACTTGGCTTATATTTTAAGTGTCAAATAAAAGTGATACAACGTGTGCTTATCATAAAAACTTAATTAATTTTCACTTAATAATTGAGTTATCAAACACTAACTTAAAATAACTCTAAAAGATGACACAAAGATAACAAGAAATTATACTTGAATCGCAGTATTCTCTCCCCATTGTTGACAACTAACTACTGCATATCAGCTATCATTAAGCGGTTGATCTTTCATCTATTTATTTATGCATTTAATGATGAATAATCCGAAGCAAGGATGTTATAGACATTTATGTTCCACTAAAAGATAAAACTGCTGAAGAATAGGATGTCAGTAAAAGAGCTCTCATTTGCTTTCTGCGAAGAAACTAACAAGCAAGCCAGGGTTCTTGGCCGCAGCCCCAGATAAATATCTAATTATTATAATTTGAGTTTTCTGCAATTATTTTCCCTGTTAACTGTTACAGCTATATATATGGTACTTTGGAAATCTGAATGATTAAAATAATATTTCAAAAAAAAAAAAAAAAAAAGCTTATCTACCATAGATAAATAGCAAAAGTTGGATGATAATAACACTTCATAAAAAAAATAATAAATAAATAAAAACATGTACACACCAATAATTGGCATCTGACTTGTTAAACACATTTTAGAACTGCAGTTTATAAAACAAAACCTTCTTTTGCAAATCAAAACATTTTTTTTCGTTAAGAGAATATTCGTGCAAATGAGAATGAGAATGAAAAAAAAAAAAAAAACAGAAACAGGGGAAATGAAAAGCGGCAAGCTAGAATCAATCACTCAACTCCCAAAATTGGGTCTCTCTGGCTGAATGCTGCAGGAGAACCAAAATGTAATGCAATAAGCAACAAAACACAAGAAGTTCAAACTGAGCACTTAAAAGGGCAAAAAGGAATACCAAAATCCAAATTAACAGAGTAAGATCTGAAGTCAATTAGGCAATGGAAACGGAATACCATACTTGGACCATAATGCAAGGACACATAAAGCAGATAAAAATCAATCCGAAAAATTAACTTTTACTAGCACAATAACAAATTCAAGCATGAAGAACAATGACTGGCAAACCAAGAAAGACAAAATCAGGCAGACATCTATGAAAGCCATATAATTCCTCCTAAACTTCTAAGAATAGGTTGAGATGGAGCACATTACCTAGTATGAGCTTCTTATTCCCTTGTACAATATCGTTTCCCGCAACATTCACTAAGGAAAATTTAAATTGCTTTCCAATCCTTATAACTTGGTTGCAGTTCTCCACTTTTCTAAATGGCATTTTAATAGGAGGTTTTGTTGCCTGTTTCCAGTTAACTGATCCTGGAAAAATTTTGTCTAGCACTTCCAAAAGTATCCATCTGCATACATGAGAGGTACACATTGAGTTCAAAAGCACTCATTCATTACAGTCGAAATGAAAAACTTAAAGCCACAAAAGCATACTGTTGAATAATTCAAGTATTATTAATTGATCAAGAAAATATCAAGCAGGGGTTATTGTTACATTTCATGGAAATATTCAGAAATAATTATAAAATGTAGTTAATTAGTGAAAAGCAAAAGATAAAAATAAAAAACAAATAAAGCATATACTGACCACTGTCATTATAGAATCAATTAGTATAGAAAAGTACTTCTGCAGATGTTATGGATTGATCTTTAAAAGTTATAATTATGGGCATGGAAACAGAAAATTTTACCCATTTCTGACATCCTCAAACATATTATTAACATAAGTAGCTGTCCCAAGACTATTGATCCATAAGCGAAAGCATCTTTCTTCTCTAGACATTTGCTCATCATCCGTCATCATCTCTGCAAAAGAAATTTTTTTGTTGTCTGTAGAGAGGCCATTCCTGCAAGACAGAGCCACATTTTATGAAACCAATGACTTTTAGTATAAACACAGAAAGGAAGTTGACAGTTTAGACTCAACATGTTCACCATGAAGCCAGTTTAAAGAGTTTCAGCAGCATTTATTCTAATCTGTCCTCACTCTACCTGAATTTGAAAAGAAGTTTTGAGAAGAAATGAGGTCAACAGAACCCCCCAATAATGGGAGGATGAATTACCCTGGTCAAGGAAAACGAACTTTAAAAATTCAGTGTACAAGCTTTCCCTAGCAGATATTGTGTGCCAAACTCGGAGGAAGAGAAACAAGAAGTTATTCGCTAGAGGTGACAAATGGGCCGGTTCAGGCAGGTCAAAACAGATTATGCATTTAAAACAATTCAATCCAAACCTGCCTATTTAATAAACAGGTTGGGTAGAATTGGAGTCCAACCCGTTTACCTGATTTTTTTTTAAAAATGTCAATAGATGGTAGATGGTGATGGTGGAGGTAGTGGTAGGGTGGCAATGGTGGAGTTGCTGGTGAAGGTATCGCTGATCGAAGAGAAGTTTCCCAGCTTTGTTAGTTCTGTCTGATCCATTTAAACCCAATTTTAATTGGGTTTGCAAGATGCACCCATTTATGAATTTGGGCAGGTTTCAACATGTTTTAAATGGGTGCAATTGGACGGTTTCACGATTTCAGGTTGAGTTAGCCACCTCTAGTAGTCACTGTTCTCATAAAAAAAAAGAGAGAAACTGCAACGATATTTAAGGTGATTGAAGAAGATATTAGAGCAAGGATTGGCACATGAAGGCAAGTGGAGAATGGCCAGCTAAAATGGCAGATATGATTTGCTTGGAGCATCCTACAAAAATTTTGAACCCATTGCTAGGTGGTCCTCAAAGAAGATGATTTAAATCCTACTAATTTGTTTAGTTCATATCAGTAATAATGCATATTAGTTGTGTTCTCTTCTAGAATACTTGGTTTAGAGACAAATATTTATTGTTTCTGGTTGATAAGACATTTTAGTCTTAAGATAGGGGGGAATGCCCCATCCTTACTTCTGCACATACCATACACACAATGAATTATAAACATTACTTCCAAAAAAAAAAAAATTTCTTATATCACAAAAGTAAAACATTCACTTCCGACCTTTGATGGAATATTTGTGCAACAAATGCAAGATTCAAATTTGTTGAGCCTTCAACAATGTCCTTTGGGGTTAAATATCTTTTGCAGTCCATTTTCTCAGCATGCTCGAGCACACAAATTAGCCCTTTCGCAGGATCTTGCATCTAAAGTGGCTGGATCTGCAATGTTCTGGTGCAAGAACATTAAGCAGATAAGCATAAGCTTCTCCATCCTGCAGTGCAAAAGCACATGATATTGGTACGGAGAACTGATAAGAAGATTTCCATAAAAATTTACTCATATGGTTCATGGGTACAAAATGAGAAGCTAATTGGTTGCAAACAAAAAGGATGTCATGAGTAGAAATACAGGGAAACAGTCAAATTCAGGTGCAAAAACAATTTCAACTATTACATCCATTGAATAAGCTCCTCACTGATCCCCATATCTTGCTGCATTCTAATAACAAATTTATAAAGCATGCAATTCAATCTGAACAATGTATAATTAAATATGCCACTGTTTAAGATTTAAATAATTCCAGTGTTACTAGACATATATGAGTGCTAGTTACCTTTAAGTCAGAAGAGAAATTTGTCACATTTTTCTTGTAGCCTGCTTTCTTCAAGTGGAAATTCATCCACTTCAACAAGACCTTTTCAGGGGCTAATCCCATAAGCTCCTCAACATCCTGAAAGGTATATGATCCACAATGATGCCATATCCCCCATAGATTGAAACCAAAATGTACAAGCTAAATTTCAAAAGTATGAGCAACTAATAGTTAATTACATTGTTGTCTTCCACCAATTCCACAAGTTGCGGTGTCTTCCTAAGGTTGAGATCTGCCAAGAGTTGGATCTGAAGTAGACACAGTTAATTGATAAATTAACAGAGGAAGTGAAAGAAATTTGAGCAAACAATGGATCTTCTAAACTAGAAGCTCTAGCCTCTGTGGTTATCACATGACCCCAACCATCTTCATAAATTTCTTGTTTTCACTCTGAAGAATAAAATGAAAGTATAATTAAACTTGATAGGATGGAGTCTAATGCACACCTTTATAATTTGACTAATCAACCCAAGAACCAGATGAGACTGCACAATGAACAAATAAATTAGAAAGTCTGACTCTCAATCTCGTGTTATATCAACATAACCGATATGGGTACTGAAAAAGTTGGACTCACTCTTCCTTCAATCAGGTCCTGGGTACCAATGTTAACGACTGTGCAACCAATAGCCTTGGCGGAGTTGAGACAAAGGGTGTGATTTTCATTCCTTTCCCAGGGGTTGAGTACCCTTTTGGTATTGATAGCACGCTCATCTATTGTGCCCGGTACGGCAACATTGATGAGTTTACTGCATTAAGCCATAAAATACATTAAAACCACCCCAAATTGTCAGCCTTCGGCAGTGACATAAAAAAGTAGAGTACTAAAAAGCAGACCCTGATTAAGTACCATAGAAGAACTCCATCTTTTGCAAGATCAAATAGAGCATTTGTAGCTGGGTCTATTGGTAGAAATTGCTTCAAAAATGGGTCATCCCTGAGATAGCTGTTGATGTGAGCAACGTAAGATGATTTCTCTGATTCACTAATGGTGTGAAGAAGGGTGGTTGTGGTAGCCTTGAGGAATGACCATGAGTTCTTTGCACCGCCTAATTTTGCTGGAGCTCGAGATTGTAAATTCACATACGTCTGTCCTTTCAATTTCAATGCAGTTAATACACATGTCATTTACCAAGCTCTGAACTCCAGTACAATCCAGACTTATTCCCATATGAAATACAATAGATAAAATCAACACCTCAACTGTGTGCAAGTAAAATTGAAGCCTAAAAAACCAGTTACTTCGATTCTTCTTTTCATAAAACTACATTTCATTCACCAAATACACACACACACACACAAAAAAAAGCAACAAAAACAACGCCACCCAATTATTACACATTAATGTGTGTTTGGGAGGGTTTGGGAGAGGAAAGATTAGGTACACACCTCATCTAACCTTTGCCTAGTGCACTTTGCCCCGAGACTTGAACCCATGGTTATTAGGCCAATGTTATTCACCAAATACATAAAATAAAAAAATACAATAAACTGAAATAATACAGAGTCATCACAATAACTCACCCTGAGGAAGCCTTCAAAATCAATCTCATCATCTATGGAAGAACCCGACTCGCCCAATATTTCCCTTATCTCCTCCTCCTTGTACATCTCACTCAAAGCTTTCAGTTTCACCATTAAAGGTGGCAAATCCCCAATTTTAACTTTACCATTCTGATTCTTTATTGAAACAAACTACAAATTAAACAAAAACAATAACACAGTTATATATAATTGCTCTGCCACAGAAACTATCAACTAACTTCCTCAAATCAAATCAACAATAGAATTCAAGTATACTCCAATAATACCTTGGATTTGAGACTACGAAGTTCAACCTGTGTGAACTGGCTTTGAAGCCATTGATCAGAAACAAGAACACCCACAAAACTAGACATATTCTTCTGCACAGATCGCAAACTTGGGAAAGAAAACGAATCGCCGGCTTTCTTTCTTCCCCAAAAATTCACTTCATTCAACAAACCTCAATAAAAATCTATAAACCCAGATTCAGTAACGAATACTGAATCCAGAAACAGATATTCAGATCAATTTACGCAAACAAATAACAATAGCCCAGTGACAGAACCAATACGCGTTGGCAGCAAAACTTGCAAATCTTTCCAATCTCTATCTGCATAAGGAATTGAAACCCAGAAGAGAAAGCGTGAGATTGAATAAAATTCACAACTGCAAGGCTGTAAAAACCAGATATTCAAATGGGTTTCTTTGTTTATTCCAGTACTATGTAAATGAATCCAAAACCCAGAAGAGAAAACGAGAGATTGAAATATAATTTACAACTACAAGGCTGTGAAAACCAGAGATTCAAATGGGTCTCTTTGTTTATCCCATTGCACTACTATGTAAATGAATCGAAACCCAGAAAAGAAAACGAGAGATTGGAGAGAATTTACAAGTACAAACCTGTAGAAACCAGAGATTTCAATGGGTTTCTTTGCTTATTCAAGCTTTGACTGTTCGTCAATTGTAATGCAGAGAGAGAGAGAGAGAGAGAGAGGATCGTTTTTTTGCTTCGTTATAGAGCAAAGGGAGAGAGAGAAGGAGGGGGGTGAGAGAACACGCTAAGACCATGAGGCGGCATGGAGGCCAGTTAATAGGGTACTGTCTCTGTGGTGACGCATTTGACAAAGATAATCTATACGCGCGGGTGTGTGGTAAATCAATAGACGCGCTCTACATGCCCAACAACTCATTAGCTATGTTTCCACGTGTAATCGCCACCTCAGCATCATATTGTCCTTTTTGCAACTACCTGTCTCCTTAATTTTACTCGAATAGGCTTGTTTGGCTACACTATATAAAAGTATATTTTTTATTTGAAAAATATTTAAGGGGTATAATTTATATGGTTCAAATGATTTGAAATTGTCAAAACTACATCAATCATTATTGTTTTTATTTTTTAGGTCATATTATTATTTTTTATTTTTTACAGATTTTTTCGTAAAAAATTAAAAAATATAATTATTTAGATTATTCCAAATAATCTCGTCCTTAAAGTTTGATTAAAATACGAATCGACTTCTGTAATTCTGAAAATTACATTATACCTTTGAGATTTTTAATTTCATAGCAAATCGTGTATTTTATTAATAAATCATTAAGTCACTTACTCTAATTTTTAATGATGTTAAAAATATATTTTAATTAAGGGTAAATTACATTTACCTCCCCTAAGGTTTCTGACAAATACAGGGACCTCTCCTGTAGTTTGAATAATTACAGTAACCTCCCTTGCTTTACCTGACAATATCAAGATTCCCCCTGCTGTCAAAAATCACTAAACGGTGTCACTTTTTCCTTCAAAAATTACTTTATTGCCCTTCCCTTTAAAAATATTAAAAAATATTTTTGGATTGGAGGATAAGTTTAGAGTGTTTGGAACAGTATTTTTAGATTTATTTTTTAAAAATATTAAAAAATGTTTTAAAAAAAATTATTTTTTATTTTAAATATATAATTTTTATTTAAATATTTTATTTTATTTTGTAAATATTTTAATTTTAATATTTGAAACTCAAAACACAACCCCACACTCAAATCGTAACCAAACACATAACTCAAAACTCAATTCAAAAATTATTTTCAAAACTTATATTCAAACACATAATTCGAAATTTTACACTACTTTCAAAACTCTACACTCAAATCGTAACCAAATACATAACTAAAAATTCAATTCAAAAACTATTTTCAAAACTCATAATCGAACACATAATTCGAAATTCTACGCTATTTATTATCCTAGCCAATAACAGTACCCAAATAAATTTCTATATCCACATTTTTTTAGATAGTGAGTTTTGGTTGAAGTAAAGAAGAGAAATCTCAAAGCTATAGTTTTGCATCAATTTTAATGTAATGGTTAAAATCTATCAATTTTTATAGTTTGGTGGTCAGTTTATTGTGTAGAAAATTAAATAAATGAAAAATAAATAAATTGTATGCTGCTTGGTGAATAAATCAATTTGAACATAAATTTTCCAAATTTATAGGTAAACGAAATAGTGAAAAGTAAACACATAATTACGTAAAATTCAAGCACAATAAAAGCATAAGATTTTAAACAAACAACAAAATGTAAATCCCACAACACAAAAACATCTATATAAAAATCAGACGAAATACGCCAGCCAATGCTATGCAATAGAAAAAAATAAACAAATTAAGCACACCAGCCAATGCTCTGCAATACAAAAAAAATGCCAAATAACAAATTAAGCACCCCAGCCAGTGCTCTGCAATACAAAAAAAAATGTCAAATAACAAATTAAGCACACCAGCCAATGTTCTGTAATACAAAGAAAATGCAACACCCTTCCTAATAAACAGATAACCAAATAAAAATATGATTAGTTTTGTTTAACCAAATAAAAATATTTTTTATTTGAAAAATATTTAAGGGTCATAATTTTTGTGGTTCAAATGACTTGAAATTGTCATAACTACATCAATCATTACTGTTTTTATTTTTTAGGTCATATTATTATTTTTTATTTTTTTACATATTTTTTCGTAAAAAATTAAAAAATATAGTTATGTAGATTATGCCAAATAATCTCGTCCCTAAAGTTTGATTAAAATACGAATCAACTTCTGTAATTTTGAAAATTACATTATACCTTTGAGATTTTTAATTTCATAACAAATCGTCTATTTTATTAAGAAATCATTAAGTCACTTACTCTAATTTTTAATGATGTTAAAAATATATTTTAATTAATAATTTAAGTAATTTTATCATTATATAGGAGTGTAATTATTAATTTTATTTTTTAGTTAATTATGTTAAATAAAAAATTCTAATAAACAAGTATTTATAATTTTCTAAACAATGGAAATAATTATACTTTAAACAAATTTCAAGGAATGTATTTGTAATTTACCCTAATTATTGACAAAAATAGATCTTTGTTCTCCTCTAAATTCTAGAATGGTCCATTTGTTCATAAAAAATAATTTTAAGAATGTACAAGATTAAAATTTATCTTTAAAGTTTAATTTTTAAAACAAATTTGGTGGACATATTAATCCTTTATATATTTTTTGTCGGAACATTTTAATATAATTATTTATTTATTTTAATACTTTTCAGATGATACGAGGAGTTAATGAGAGGTTATAGGCATTGGTGAATAACTAGTATTTGGAGTTAAAGAAAAATCTCACATTCACGCAATGAATAGATAAAGAATTGTATACACATAATTAGGGTCGGGTGTAATCTATAGGAATTGGATTCAACCCATGAGCACAATAAATTAGCAAGTGGAGGAGGTATGCAGCGGCCAGATGTAATTGTATCTCATTTTTATAATAAATATTATTTTTGCCAACATTTGCTATACACAAGTTTTTTTCCAGAACAATTTAGTACATTTTGTTTATGATTGTGCTCAATTTGTGAGACGAGTAACGCCACCAAAAAAAAAAAAAAAAAAAAAAAAAAAGGTACACAATTCAATTTAAATCAAGATAAATTGATTCTAAGTTTGAATTTGAGATTATTGCTGAGTGATTAAAAATAATATTATATAAATTAATAAATTTTACAATTATTTTTGTACTAATAATGTCACTACTATTTTTTATTGTGATTAATTTGTGTTCCTCTTATTAAAAACAAAAGTTGTAATCTCTTGCGTAAGAAGCTAAATGCCAATGATAATTCCAAGATGGAGAATCAGCAAAGCACATAGCTTGTAATGCCATAGCAACCAATATTGAATAATTAATATGAAAATGCCCGAATTTGGTCAATTGTCAAATTTCACATTGCCAAATATAGCAGATCTCATATTCTATTTTTGCACTCCCTTTTGAGATAATTTTATAACTTATGTTAGATAATTATTGTGGTTGTTTGGAAAGTTGTTATTTTAGTTTTTGACTTTTTTTTTTTTTGATTACAGGAAAATCCTCCCTACCTTCTCACAGGTCCAAGGCAGCGCTCCTTGCAGAGATTACCAAGGTGTCTTGTTAGCCGTTCCGAGCGAGGAGACTATAACCTGAGAACTTGCCCTGACCAAGTTCCGCTTAAGTCAGGACTCGCACAGTGAGGGAGTATTGAACCCACACCAAATGCTGATTAGACAACTTGAGGTTCAACCTCCTAACCAACTGTGCTTCGCCCAGGAGATTGGCTCAAGGGGGAAGGAATTAAACTCATGGCCTTGGGGCTCTGATTGAACTCATGACATTGACTATTTTAATAGGCTAAAATTTGTGTTTGGGAAGATAGTTGAATTTTTTTGTAGTTAGACATGATATTTGTAAGAGAAAAAGTAAAATAATTATGATTTTGATGTGACATTTTATCTAATTAGTTATCTTAACATATTTTGTCATTTTATGAATTTTAGCCCAAAAAATTAAAAAAAACCTTTGCCAAACATATCTGTCTTGTATAAAAAAATCAATGAAATTGATTAATAAATTATTTAAATTTAACTCGAAAATCTAATAAGTATTTTAATTTGTTTAAGTTTTACTTGTTTACATTTTCAAGTTGAGCTAATGGCCTTGTTTAGCAAAGGCTAAAATTTGTTTTTTTAGGCTAAAATTCACAAAAAGATAAAATAGACTAAAATAGTTAATAAGACAAAATGTCACATTAAATTCATAATTATTTCACTTTTTTTCTCACAAATATCACATCTAATTACAAAAAAATCCAATCATCTTCTCAAACACAAAAATTTTAACCTACTAAAATAATTAAAAACTAAAGTACCCAACTTTCCAAACAAGGCCAAAATCAATTTTAATACAAATAAGTTTAAATAGCCTGAATTTTATATTACATGTAAATAAATTTATCGCATACTTTAAAATATATTTAAATTTAATTTATTTGTATAACAAATGAACTTTCAATTACTCTCCCGAAATATACATGAGGACTAACATGCATAAGCCCCTGTGATAAAAGAAATTAGCATATAGTGGGTGTTTGGAAAGTTGCTATTTTAATAGAGTATTTTAGTTTTTTGCTATTTTAAAAGGTTAAAATTTTTATATTTAGGAAGATAGTTGATTTTTTTATAATTGGATGTGATGCTTGTAAAAAAAATGAAATGATTATGGATTTGATGTGACATTTTGTCTTGTTGACTATTTTAGTCTATTTTGTCTTTTAGTGCTATTTCAGTACCAAATTTTTTTTTTTCCAAACACCCCCCTTATGTTTGGGAAGTTATGTTTGGGAAGTTTGGTTTTTGGTTTTTTGTTTGCTTTTTTCCACTGAAAATCAAATTGGTTACAAAATTAAAAAAAAATCAATCTAAACAAAATATTACTTCAAACTCCATAATCATTTCATTTTTTATCTCACAAATATCACATTCAACTACAAAAAAAACTCAATTATCTTTCCAAACACAAAAAAAAATTTCTCTAATAATATTCTACAACTAAAAAAATTATAAAAAAAAACACACTTTCCAAACACCCACTAGTCTATTTAATTCCCCATTGACTCAAAAAGTCACCGGCCAACTGGCCATTTGTCTTATTTCTTTGCACGATCTCCTCTTCTTGATTTGCTATTATTATTTGTTTGTTATTTAGGTCAAGTTTAACGTATTGTAAAAAAATTAAAAAATTAAAAAGTTATTTAAAAATTAAAAAGTTAATACTATTCATCAAAAATTAACAATTATGGCTCCACAACTCACCATCCTAATTTTTTCCTACAAATCAATTTTTATAATTTTTTATTACACATTTTTTCATAAAAAGTCAAAAAATTAATCAAAACATTCATATTTTCTTTCTTAATTTTGTAATCCAAAAAGATAAAAAATATATTTATTTTAAATACCCTAAATAACCCCTTATTTTTTCTACAAATCACAAAGAGAAGAACAAAATTTTAAGAGGCAGTAGTTAATTCCCAATCTCAACAACATGCTATAATATAGAGATTGGAACCATTAATTTATGAGATTAGCCCTGTTTGGTAGAGCTGTGGGAAAGTGCTTATAGCTTATGCCTAAACAGCTTATAGCTTATAACTATGAACATAAACTGATTTATGACTTATAAATTAAGCATCTCCTGTCCCACTCAAAGAATAAGCTGATTTCTAACTTCCAAAAAGCTATAAGCTATAAGTTATAAGTTAAACCAAACACATCAAAATAGCTTAAATTAAGTTGAAAGCTAAAATAAGCTGCTTTTAAGTTCTGCCAAACAGGCACATTAAAGCGAAGGGGTTCATCATGAATTGAGTGAGCGAGCGCCATTTTTAGAACTTTCATAAAAAGTCACGTTTTTTTATCATTTTATGAAAACGTAAGTAGCTAAAAACGTAATAAAATTAGTTTGGAAAGGGTAAAAAACGTAAGTGTGAAATTATAAATTAGGGCATATGATAAAAAAATAAAAAATAAATAAATTTCTTATGTTGGGTAAAGATATTTTAGTCATTTTAATTTGATTTGACACTATAAATAAATATTAAACAAAAAAGCAAAAAGTCAACTTTTTATCAACTTTCCAAATCACTTTTCAAAAAGCTAAAAAACTTGGTAAAAAATCAAAAATCCACTTTTTACTAACTTTTCAAAACATTCATTCATCATATTAACATTATTATCTGCAGGAGTTTGTGCATCCAGAACACTCATGAAAAGTACACATTTGCCCAAACAACATTGATTTAAGCCACTACTTTTAGTGCTCTAATAGAACACTAATAACATAACAATAAACAAAAAATATAAAATAAAAACAAATCAAAACTAAAACATCACATCACTGTAGGTGAAATTTACTGACAACTTATTAGAGTTATCTTTAAAGCTCAAAAATTAGAGTGTTTCAAAGCATTTTTCTTTGCCCAAGAGATCAATTACTTAGGAACCAACATTCATTTAAGTCAATGTGGTTAGATGAGGATGCAACCAGCAAGCTCTCTATGCATTTTTCTTGATTATCAAGTTGCATCCACAGTAGCTTCGACCCATTACCCATTTGCCATTATTTCAAACTACCAAACACTCCCAAACCAAATAATGTCTCCAGCTACCACTAGTTGGGCTATGGTGATTTATGGAGGTAGGGGTATAGTAGGAAAACTCATTGTGGGCCACCCATAGAGACTATGGGGATTTTGAGGAGAATTTATTGCGTGCCGACATCAATGTTTTTGAGACCACGTAATGAAAAAAATTATGGTAGCGTTTGGTAGAGTTTTGTAAATGTGATTTGAGAGTATGAGTTGTATTTTGAGTTTGTGTGTTGTGGAATTATAATTTGAGTATAGAAAATTTGTTTGGTAAAGAGTTTTGGAAATAGTTTTGGAAAAGAGGTTTGATTTGAGTGGAGAATTATTGATGTGACATTTGATATGTGATATAAAAATTTACAACTCATAACTAAATATTCAATTCAAAATTATTTTAAAGCACATAAAAAATTTAAAAATTTTCAGAAAATATTTGTCATGATTATGTAAATCAATTGCAAAAAAAAATAAAAAAAAATAAAAAATAAAAAAAATCTGGAAATCAACCGGACATCCGGGTGGACATCTGGGTGGTCTACCGGGTGGTCTTCCTTTGGACAGAAAACACGCCTGTGTGCACAGAGTTCTCTGCAGAGAGTGTAGAAAATTGATTTGAAAACGTAACCAAACATCATGCTCCAAAACACACGTAGAAAATTGATTTGAGAATACAAACAAACAGAGCCTATGTAATTCATAGAGACAATAGAATAATAATTCAACAGCACTAAATAATTTTTCTTCATAAAGACTATCTGAACATAGAAAAAAAAAATCCAAAACTCATTTAAATAACCCTTAATTCATAATCAACTATTGTTTGAGGAGACTTAGGCTCGTTTGGGAAGCGACCGGTTTAGTCAAAAAGTCAAAAAGTTATTAAAAAAAATCAAAAAGTCAACAACACATAAAAAAAAATAAAAAATTCTCTTTTCTCTCTACTTTTTACACATCTTTTCGTAAAAAACTAAAAAATCATCCAAAACATACTAGTTTTTTTTATATCACATTTTATTCAAAAAATTAAAAAATTACTAAAAAAATCTATTCCCAAACAAGGCCTTAGACATAAAATAAATCTTTAATATATACTTTTTAAAATTGATAGAAGAGACATAAAGAAAGGAAAACCATCGTCACACAACAAATAAATAAGTTTCAAGTCCATGTATTACACCTACAAAAGGGATAAAGCATCTTACGCATTAACTCAATCCTCAAGTCTTCATACCTAAAATGATTCTAAGACACAGATTACTTGTTATGGGTATGTTTTTTAGAGTAGCTAGTTGTCAAAAGATTCATAAAAGAGAGAAAAACGAGATTCTATACCTCTACGATAATATAAGAGCAATAGTAATATGCCTGGAAGAAATGCAATCAAAATTATTTGAGTTGAGATGAAGCAATGATCTCCATCTTTATCACCAGTACTTAAAAAAATTGCCAAAGATAAAGTGATCAGTGTTGGATCTGATCATACTTCAATTGGGAAATCCTGTGTTATTAAACACAAAATTGATACATGGCCATTTTCAACTCTTCTTGGTAATGACAAAAGATGGTCAATGAACCATGATATACATTCTTGTCAACTGTTGACAGTAGTTATACAAAAATGGCTTAACCAAGGCAAAAAGATGTGCTTAATAACATCTAGAATGCCTCGTTTGCACAGGTCTAGAAGCGCAGACGAGAACAAAAAAAAGCAATCAAATATGATGGAAAATCCGGAGTCTTTTTTTTTTATTGGAGATTACAACTCGAGAGAAACTCTCTAGCCGCCTCCTTTTTCTATTCTCCGATACTAATGGATTGCATTGCAGTTCCAGCAGCAGGATTCAGAGTGGTAATTGAGAGCGAGAGCAAGGAAAGTTTATTGGTTTAGATTGGCCATTCTTTCTGGATACCAAATGTGTAGTTAATTTCCAAGTAGCACTTGTTGTCATCATCAATAAACTGCATAGAGGTGTGAAAACAATGAGAAATCAAAATGGTATAGGCAAACAAAAGCAATCATATTGTACTTGGCTTTTGAAAACATACGTCCGTGGTATCGTATACAGTCAAAACAAGCAACCACCCCAAGAAATCATATGGGTATAATTAAAACTCTGTTATTCTATCACCAAACTTTTATAATATGTCATCAGATTGCTATCTGTGGTCCCAGTTCAATGTTTAAGATTATTAACAGCAAGAAGTAATAGTTCGATTAAATTATATCATAATTTTCAAAAAGTTGGTGACCATCGTTTATTTATTAGAAGTTTCTCAATTGATTATTAGGACAAGGAAAAGCACCCACTGGGCACTAGAAGGTAAAGTTGATTGCTTTCACAAAATAGAATATTAAAAATGAATTCAGTTCATACACAAGGAGAGATCAATGTCTGTTTGGCAAGAAATGCAGGAAATAAATGCCAACTCGGATTGAGAAACATTAAAAATGCAAAAATGCTATTCTTCCAAAATTTTCATACAGAATCATGTGTCCATGGCAATTTTGTTATTGCAAGCATTTTGATGGGTTCAAAGTCTAACAGCACATCATTCTGTATTTATTATTAATTTTTTTACATGTTTTCTATTTGTATGTCATTACTCTTTAAAATGCACCATTCACAAACTAAACGAAAAATGCATCTTTATTACTCCTATTTGTCAACCAAGTTTAAGAAGACCTTGCATCATGCCAGAAGATCATTTTACATTTGAGTGCAGTAGAAGTCATTCTTTGTTGAAGTTGCTTCCAAAGATACATGTAATTGATTTTACACTGGGAAGATTTTAAGATCATGAACATTCCTGATTATAATGAATCTTAGAACCACACACACACATGCACACACAAAAAAGAAAAAAAGATTGTTTACCTTTGTTTTTGCTGAATATGATCCTCTTGCAAACATACCGGAGGGGGTAGTCTCTTCCGGCATCTCGTGTATGTAAGGCTCCGCCTGAGGACTGAAGGTTCCAAGCATCTCCTTCGAGCTGTCGACTGAAACCAAAAACACTCAGAGTCTTAACATCAAACTTTTTTGGAGATTCATTCAAAAGAATGAACCTTATTTCCGAGAGAGAGAGAGAGGGAGTGTACCCTTGAGACCAGTTTTCCAAACAGTGTTGATGTACCTCAGGCCGGAAACAATATTATTGCTGACCTGAACTGCGAATCTCAGACAGTAATGGGTTCCTTCTTTCAGTGTAAACCACACTCCTTTGGGGTCCCCATTCTCAGGAATTTGAAGAACAATATCAGATCTACCAGGGCAGAGGATAGTAAGGCTCAAAATCTTGACATCTGGTTCTAGAGTTTCTACAAAATAGAAGAACAGTTGAAGATAAAAATGTACAAGCCTCATCATCCCATTTGAAAGTAAACCAATAAATTTAGTTGAAAACAGAATCAAGAATTGAGAGACTACTAAAATTTGTAAAGCTCAATTCCTGTTATAGATAATCACAAATTAAAACATGGAAGGCATAAGATGTTGACTGGCAAATAACAAGATAATAACAGACCAAGTTCCCCCTCTCCAAAAATATATATATATGTGTATTTGTTTTTTTTGGTAAAGCAAAAAATAATTTGTTTATTTCTTGGTTAATGCAAAACAAACAAAATATGAGATGTTTCACCCAACTCGCACCAAATAGTTCAGAAAAAGACTTTGCAGAGTTAAAAATAGAAGAAAGTACTAGCTGTGTTTATAGTTTCAGTTACAAGAATATGCTGAACACGAATCAAAATTGAACAGGAATCAAAATTGAACCCTGTTAGAAATTTGTACCATTTTTTTTTTAAGTTGACAGTTAAAAGTTAGTAGAAACTACAGTGAGTCAGTCCCAAATACTAGAATGGAAAATTTATTTCGATCATGTTTGACAAAAACAACGGAAACTAGTTCTGTTCTGTCCCCTTCAAGAAATTATTTATAACAAACAGTGAACAATTGAATATATTCTAGAAATAATGAAATGTTGTTATCATGTCATAGCAGGAACTCTATCGGATTTAGTCCGTTCGTAAACTAAGGGAGAGAAGTAGAAAGATTATGGTTTCTCACTTAGGTGGAGGAAAAAAAAATTGTTCACGATTTTTTTGGAAGACGAGGACCCATGTTGTTTCATTTTCTTTATTTTGTATTTAAATGGTAGTCTCCAAATCTAGCCAATTTTGATGAAAACTTATTTCTCTTTCCCTTTCACATCAATTATCTTATCTCATCAATCATCCAAACAATTGATAATAATTCTCTTTCTTTTTTCTCATCAAACCCCTCGATTTCAAACGGGTTGTTGACAAGTTGTATCTACATATTTGTTTATTTGTGTTTGGTCAGACTCTTTACACTTCAATTGTTGATTAACAAACAAACATATATGCAACAAAGTACCTCCAACCGAATTGACATCAACACTGCCAAGAAGCTGTTCTTTCCACCGCCTCAAACTCTCGTCATCCTGACCCAACACAGAATCACAAGTTCAAGAACATCTTGATAACAATCAAGAACATACTAATAACTTTGATTTTTCAAAAAAAAAAAACAAACAAACAAACCAACCAACCAACCTTGTCCTTTTCAAGATGTTCTTTGATACTACACTTGGGACCCAACTGCAAACGTGCCTCTTCTTCCTCCTCCTCTGTCGCATAAAAAGAAGCTTCACTCGGCTGTCTGCTAAGCACCTCTCCATCACTCGAATCTTCTACTTGCCCTGTTGAAACTCTCGGTTGGGTTGGTTTTGTTTCAGAGGCTTCATTATCTTCATCCAAACCCATTGTTTTACAGAACTCAAAACAACCCCAAATTTCTCAAATACCCACCAAAAAGCAGTGAAAACTCGGCAGACCCACAAAACTCAAACAATCAAAATCACAAAAACAACGAGACCCAGAAAAGAATACCTTTTTGGGGGTCAAAGAATCCCAAGAAGGTAATGATTAAACCATGTGTACAATTTTCTTAGTGTATAAGGATTTGGGGGTTTTGATTTGAGAGGTGTTTGTGGTGGAAAAAATGATGATGAAAGGGAGAGGAGAAAGAGAGGTGTGAAAGTGTTTGAACGAATTGGGAAAGGGTCGTGTGGTGATCCGGAGATGGGAATTGTGGAGAGATTGGAGGTAAAGTGGATTTGTGTGTCTGCTTGAAAGCATTGCCATGATTGTAGTGAAAAACTGACAAAAACTACAATCCCACAGAGCGCAAAGGAAGGCGATAAACCCGCCATTTTGGGCTTTTGACCGCTCCCTCAGGGGCATCTTGTTTCCCCAACAAAACCCTAAGGCCTTGTTTGTTTGAGAAGTAATATTTTGACAAATTACAAATAAGTGGAACAGTTACAAAATAATTGCATAATAAATATTAAAAAAATTATATATATATAGTGTAATTTTGACGCACAGGAAGAGGAGTTACGCCCAACACAAAAATAGATCAACAATGATTCATCCTCTTTTTCCCCCACCCCTTTGACCCCCTCTTTCTCTCATTGGTTACTTTTTTTTTTTTTTTTTTTTTTTTTTTCCTGCTCCTCCAATCACCATCTGCCAAGTGACAAAGGCAAAGGGGTGAGGGGTGACCCCAAAAGGGGTGCCAAGCATTATTCAAAATAGATTTCCACCATGCAAGTGAATTGCAACACCATCCACCATGAAATTGTGATATTTTTACACTGTTCTACTGAAATGTCATTTTTGCTAATATTTCACATTAAAAAGTCAAAGAAATATTATAAATTGGCGCATTATTTTGTCTATTTTTTACACTTTTTTTTTTATAAAAACTTATTAAAAAAATTAATTTCCGAACAAATTTTAAAATAAAATTTTCCATTTCAAACCTAATTTGGTGGTTTGCTATTTTACTCTTTATGCGCCATTCGTATAAAAAAAATAAAAATAGATTCATTGAATATATAAACCAAATGTTGGAATGATCAAAAAATATGTCCCCACAAAAACTTATTAAAAAAATTAATTTCCGAACAAATTTTAAAATAAAATTTTCCATTTCAAACCTAATTTGGTGGTTTGCTATTTTACTCTTTATGCGCCATTCGTATAAAAAAAATAAAAATAGATTCATTGAATATATAAACCAAATGTTGGAATGATAGTTATTTACAAAAGAAATTGATGCTATATTTTTTAAATCATGCTTATAATTGATTTTTTCAATATAAATGTATTTTCATCACTTATTATTAATGGAAAATGCTAGAGGTCTCAAATTTTTTATCAAATAAATGACTAAATGTGGGTGTGGGGCCACAAAATTGCGGACCCCACACCATGTGAGACATTTGGTCATTTATTTGGTAGAAAATTTGATGTCCCTAACATTACCTATTATTAATATCCGATCAAGTTATCTTTTGGTATTGATGGATAGCTCTCCTATCCAAAATTTTACCAAAGAGAAGCTTATCCTTTGGTTGATTAAACCTATTTGTTCATTTTTAAAAGTTTTTTTTATATGTAAATTATTTATAAGGAAAATAAAAATATGAGCATTGTCTAGTGTTCATGTCCAAATATTTAAATATTAAAATAGTTGCATAATTGCTAAATTAAATATGTCATGTAATAGTAATAATAAGAAAATTTGTTTAATGATCAGGCTTTTATTGAACTCCATCTTTTCATTTGATCCCATGTAAACTTTGACAATTAATCAGTGTATTTTATTTTAGTTTTATGAATTTATCTAAAAATTGAGTTTTTAGTTTTTCACTTTTGTTTTTTAGTGAATATTTTAAAATCTTAAGCCATTTTTTTACTTTTTAGATGCATTTTGCTTAGATGTATCTAAATAGTAAAATATTTGTGAATTTTTTTTTTATAAAATTAGTAAATACACAAAAAATGTATTAATTTTTTTTATATATTTTTGGTATTTGGTGAATTTTTTAAAGATTTTTTCACAAATATTATATTTTTTAAGTATATTTATGTTAGGTGTGTCTAAACATTAAAAAAAATACTTAAAATATTAAAAAAAATTCAGTTAAAACAAAAAAAATACAGAAAACGAAAAAATAAATTTTTCTAAAAAGTGAATATTAAAAACTGAAAACAAACCGAGTCAATAATTTTTTTTATACTAAACATTATTTGTTGTTCTCATAAAGTAGTAATTTTGAGTTGGTTGAAATGATTAAAAAAAAAAAAAAACACTTTCAATACTTGTAACAAAAATGTTTTGGAACTCTAATTTGTGAGCTCTAATAGCTCTAATAGTCCCGCTAGGTAGCTCGAATCCATCAAGGCTTGAATTGCTCGAGGTGCCAAAATGACGTCGTTTTGGCACCTTTTTTTTTTTTTTTTTTTTTTTCTCTTCTTCTTCCTCTGTCTTCCTTTATGTTCCTAGATCTATTTTTCCTCTTTTTTTTTTTTTTTTTCTTCTTTTCTCCTTCCATAACTTAGAATAAAAAAAAAAAGATATAGAGGTGAGGAAAAATCAAAAAAATGAAACAAGATCTATGCTGGTTAGATTTATGTATATACAGATCTACTCTACCATCCCTCTGTTTCTTCTCTTATTATTCTTCTTCTGTACTTTCTGCTCTACCACCACAATACCCAAAATCAAAATCAAAATCAAAATTCACAGATCAGGGAGCAGAGAGATAGAGATACACAGAACAGAGAGAGGGAGATCTATACAGATCGGGGAACAGAAAAAGAAAGAGATACACACAGAGAGATATACACATAACAGAGAGAGAGATATAGATCTGTGTATACACAGAGGATGGCGGCGCCCTTGGGTGGAGCTCTCTCTCTCTCTCTCCTTGTTCCCTCTCATTCTTCTCTCTTCTCTCTCTCTCTCTCTTCCTCATTCCCTCTGTTTAAGAGATAAAAGAAAGGGCAAAAAAAATCCAAAACGATGTCGTTTTGAAATTCGGGCTACTTAAGCCTTGGAAATTTCAAGCTTTGAAACAGTTTTTTAGATCTAATGTGTGTGTGGGGCCATCTATTGTGATGTTTTGGCATATTTTTATTTTTTATTTTTTATTTTCCACCTCACTAGAGCTCAATTAGAGCTCTAGTTTTAGAGGAATGTATTATTATTGTACTTGTAAAACTTACGAGTCTTCCATCATGTTTTTCTATCTCTGTTTCATTTGATGTTACATTCAATAAAAATCAAAACTTACTTCATTTAGGATTGTTTTGAGAAGTTAGTTAAAAGTTATTTTTTTATAAAAAAAATGTAAAAATATAGAGAGATAATATAACTCAAAATAAGTTAAAAATTAAAAGAATATTTTTAACCATCTTTCCAAAAGAAGTCTTATGTTTTAGGCCAACTAAATTTTGTTTACTAATTATTAGTGCATATCAAAAGATGTTTGTTTACTTTTGATTTACTCCAAGGTAAAAGGTACGGAACAAAATTAGTAGAAGAATTTTTGGGAGTCCATCAATAAAAAATTGTTAAACACACTTTATATATATATATATATATATAGACTATAAGAATTATTGGGGATATATATAATTTAGACTATAAGAATTATTGGGGAGGATGTCAATAAATAGTAAGAAAATGTGATAGCATTTAACAAAGTTAAAAATGAATATATAATAATTATTTTAGGAAAAATGTTACAAACTTGCAATTTAGAAGTATAATTCATTTACAATGATATGTTAGAGTTGAACCTTAAATAATTAAATTTATTTAAATTTATGACAAATAAAAAATTAATACTTAATTTATCATGTCATTGTTAATAAATTTAAAGACTTGTCATGAGTCTAAATTTCTTTCTCTTATTTTAAACGTCAAGTGACTTTAGACCACTTCTTACAAAAACTCTTACTATACAAATTATATATAGCAACGAATTTTATACAACTCTAAAATGTTACAAACTTGCAATTTAGAAGTATAATTCATTTACAATGATATGTTAGAGTTGAACCTTAAATAATTAAATTTATTTAAATTTACGACAAATAAAAAATTAATACTTAATTTATCATGTCATTGCGAATAAATTTAAAGACTTGTCATGAGTCTAAATTTCTTTCTCTTATTTTAAACGTCAAGTGACTTTAGACCACTTCTTACAAAAACTCTTACAAATTATATATAGCAACAAAATTTTATACAACTCTAAATTTTTTAAATAAATATTATCCCATCTAAAATAAATAAATAAATAAAATAATATTTATAAGTAAAAAGTTTATCCTATAATATTTAAACTATTTTTTATCTAAAAAAATAGACCAAAATAAATATGTGAATAGCAATGATATAAAATATTCATTGTTACTAATAATGCGATTCTTACTAAGAGATTTTTATTTCTCGTAATTTTTTTGCTATCTAAACAGAGTAAGAAAAATATATATATATTTTTATAAAAATTATAATTATCAAATTTTATTTATTCTTAGTAGTTAATACTTGCAAGGAAAAAAGAAGGGGAATTTTTTTTATGGTCTCTATTATTAAAATTTTATAGGATAAATGACATGTAATATTTTCATAGTAGTTGTGATTCCTTAACATTTTTTTAGAGAAATTCAGATAAATTTTGATTTAGAGAAATTTTAATCTAGAGAAATTTCAGAAATTTCAATCCAGAGAAATTTTGATCCAAATAAATTTCAAACAAAATTCTACATGTTTTGAAATTTCTCTGTTTGCTCAATTTCTATGAATTTCTCTATATTTTCAAATTTTCTTTATATTTTAAATTTTTTTTGATTTGAAATTTCTCTGATTTTCTCATAACTTTATCTGTGTTGACCAAATCAATAAAAAATGTGTTTTGATTCAACTAGAGAAACAATACGTTTGTTTTGTCAAAAAAATGTTTTACAGAAAATATTTTCCTCACTTTCCTGGCATCTGAAAAAGTTTTTTTTTTATAATTTTTTTATGATCTAGAAAATAAACTTATTTGGTCTGAATTACTAGAACATTAATTTTGAGAT